CAAAGCACCACAGGCAGCTCGGTGTCTGGGTCATAAGCAGAGTCCTCTGCATCCTCAAGGAAACTCCTAGGCTCTTGAGCAACATTTTGATCATTATTAATGACCAAAATGATCATCATTATTTTAGTTATTGATTTCTCAAAATGTCCAAAGTTCTTGTAATTACTCTTACCATTATAAACCTTTTGGAAACATTTTTGTTTATCATGGCATTTGTGATTTTTTTTTTTGGGTACCTGATCCAACTCATGACCTTGCATTTGCCAAGCAGGCACTTACACTGCTGAGCTAAACCCCTGGTGTTTGTGAATTTTTATTTGAAGAATGCTGCCCCCTTTCCCCTAAAGTGACCTTTGTCCCCAATCTGTTCCTCTGCCATCATACAAATCTCTCATCCTCAGGGATAGCAAAAGCTTGTAGCCAGGAATGTAGCTCAGTGGCGCAGCACCTGCCTAACAAAGGCAAGGTCCTGAGTTCATTTCCCCGTACCAAAAAAAAAAAAAAAAAAAAGAAAGAAAGAAAGAAAGATTGTAATTGGATGACCAAATATGAGACTGGGACATAGGAGAGGCCTGAATTAAGCTCTGATAGGTGGATACATATTGCTCACAGATGGGAAGGATCTGAGATTTTTTAGTCTATCTTAGTCACTTTTTCATCACTAAGACACAATAGCCAACACCAGCAACTTAAAGGAAGAAGGGTTTATTTTGCCTCACATACAGCCTGTAGTCAGCTGACTCTAAGACAGGATGCCATGGCGTTGGCGCATGATGGAAAAGAATTGGTCATAGTATGACAGACAGGAAGCAAGAGTGTCAAGGTCAGAGCCAGAAAAGGAAATGCAACATTTTGGGTCACACCCGCAGTGACATCCTCTTCCATCCATCCCCACTCTTAACAACAAGCCATCCCACCCCCATAACCCACTCACCTTCCAAAAGGGTGCCTGTGATCACTGAGGCCTTCAGGGACAGCTAGATATAAAACGTAACACCATTTCTTGAAATTTAAGATTCTGGAAACAGTTCTTATTTATTAAAATGTCATATTTCATGGGAGGAGAAAAATAACACCCTGGCTAAAATACTTACTACTATGCTTTTAACATTAGCAAATTATTAGTTCTAGGAGCTGGAGTGAGGGGCAGTTATTTTGTATGAAAACTTTTCCTTTTGATTTTTATAACCTGCCAATTCCTCAAGAAGCTCAAGAAAACTAGGTGCAGCAAACTCTTGGAAAACTTACCTTTGGTCTCATTAATGGATAACCTCTATATGTGTAAAGTCCTATATGCTGACCATTTTACTTAGGTAAAGTTCAATAGAGAAATTATAGAGGTGATGCAGATGATCTTTGAAGAAACTATTGTCATCAAAAACTGAATTTCCATTTAAGTATTTGAAATTTTATTTATTTTGAAATTCAGACTATTCTTTGAAGTAGACTGTGTGGAAGTCAGTAATCAGTTGGAAAGTAACTGAGAAGTGGTTCTCATGCTTTGCTCTGGTGGGATTATGAGTTTTCCTGGGTTGTTCGTCCTTGCCTATTGCAAGGTGACAGCACAGTGTGATGTTCCTTGTATCTCAAAAAACTCAGTGTATTAGCTGCCAGAATAAAAAACTTGTAGTTCTGAAAATCTAAGGAAAAATGTGAAACTTGAACACATGGCATATAAATGAGTGTCTATGTCTCTGAGGTATTCGCTTTGTGTTTTAAACTGACTACTATTTGTTTATTTTACAGGGATTTTTTTAACCTCAAAAGATAATGTCAGATCCTGAACCTAGAATCTACATCAAGTGACATAATAGTTTGGTTCAAAGACTATGTTATATTACATTTTGGTTGTTTTTGCGAAACATAGGGCTCCTTGGCCAATCTAGATTTTTGTCACCTAACAAGGCTGTACTGTTTGTTACCATTCTTTTAAACTACTTAAAAGGAAAACTTACAAAATATAGCTTCATATTCAAAAATAATGATTTGTACATTCTAATTTCATATCATAGGAAATATCTTTAAAGAATACTCACGCTTGATTTTGTGAAACAAATTCATTACCCTAATCACTTTTATCTTTGTTGACATAACCCCGTGGTATGCTTTTCTAGATATGTCTTTCTATAAAGTATTCATTTATTAGTTGTTTAGCATGTGCCATTTCCTAAAATAACTTTATACAAAGTTAATACTTTAAAAATATTTAAAATTTATTTTGTGGATCCCCCTGTTCTTTTACTTTTTGATATAAAGAACAGATCCTTGTAAATTATTGCTTGAGTACATCTGGACATACCTTCTACCTGTTCTTTTATTTAAAAAGAAGAATTTCAAGAGCAGCCTCATAGCCATCATGGCTGTGAGTGGTATATGTCAAGATTATTTCCTGTAAAGTGCTGTTTAGTCAAGGTAGGGGTAAATAGAACTACCTTTTTTAAAAATAAAAGTGAGAGTGGGAAAAATCCATACTTTTATTCAGTGACTCAAAAAGACACATTCCTAACTCTGAGAATAGTACAGAGGGGAGCTTGTTTGAAACTTGTTAAATTTAAAAACACTACCTTTGTTACAGAGTGGAATAAAATCTGGAGATGAGAGTGACAGATTGATAATAGTGAAAATAAGACAAATATCAGAAAGTAAAGAATGAAAGGAGAAAATACAAGAGAAGCTAAAGGAAAGAAGAGAGACATAAGACCTGTTATTCATTTAGAAAATATTTTGTGCCAGTACACCAGGTCCTTGCTATTAGCAGGGTATCAAACAGTTGTGTGCTCTTCTGATGAATAAGATTGTCATCCCATCCTTTGGACCAGTGGAAAATAGAATGAAGCAAAGGGTTAGCTCCAGACTGGAGAGAAAAACTGAGCAAAGCACTATGAGCAGTGGGCATGAAGGTTGGATACCTAAGGACAAGAAGGATGGAAAATGAACTTTAACCTTTTCCTTTAATGGCCCAGAACTCCATCCATCTCTCCTCCACATCCACAGCCAGATTAGTTTCTCGAATCTTCCTTCAACCTATTCTGGATAATGATTCTCTGTGGATACATTAGGACCATCCCCAAGCAGTCGTCCATCTATTTGAAAAACATTGATTAGTGTCTTCTGTGTAGCAAGCATTGTGATATGTAGCAGAATATAATAAAAAGTGAGGTATTATCTCTGCTCTTTAAGTATCTTATAACCTAGTTGCATATAGTGGCAAGTAAGTAAATAATAATCTGGTTTGATAAACACTGCTGAAAGGATGAGTAAAAGCCATTCAAGTCCATGGATGAAGAAAATTTCCCAGAATAAGAGACCACCATGTTGACATTTCCTCTTGTACTTCTTCCTTGATTAAAAATTTCATCTGAATGATTTCAAAAAAGCATTCTATGTGCTTCGTGGTTGATGAAAAATTAATTTTGCTTTGATTCAGAATTAGCAAATTAAACAGTCAGTATGGTTTTGCACTAGTGGGTTCTTCAGTTGAAATTCTGATTATGTTTTAAAATATGTGTTAAAGTCCACATCCCCCTTCCATATTCATACCCATTTAAAAATACAATTTAAGAAAACCCACCGAATATTTTTTCTTGTACTTTTATCACCCACTATGTACACAAGTCTATAGAGGCACACACTGTTATGGTTTAATGTAAAACAGATGCCCATAAAGCAATTTAGCTGTATTTGTTTAAAATATGTGTATGTATACCAATTTATTTCCTGATTCAGATTGCAGTCCTATCAGACTTTTAGAGGAAAAACGCCAAATCATGATAAGTTGCCCTGGATTTCATGTAAGAGCTATTTGGAGCAGTGAAAGACTCTCAAAGGGCTGAACACTTTTTCATACTTTGTGTTCTTTCATGTAAACCTGATTTAGAGAAATCTCTTGTCACTGCTTTTTCCCGAACAGAAAATTTTCTAACAAGTTGGCTTCCATTTGTAGTCATTGGTTTATCTCAAGTCTTTAGTGGCCCCTTCTACCTTCTTTTTGATGGGCTTTGTTACTTTTTGTCCTATATTTATGACTCCAGCTCTGACTACTCCCCTGGATTCCATTTGCTCATTCTCAGTCTTGACTTGGATGTCAGATAATCTATTTCAAATGTAACATAACTGAAAGAGAACCAATGGACTCCCTGCCATCTCTCGTGAGCCAAATCTGTTCCTTTAAATTCCTCCTCACCTTAAGAAATGGCAAAAATAATCTACAAAAGTCAAGTATTATCTTATCTTAACTCATTTTATTCTCCATAAGTCCTGTTGGTAGTGTTACCAACTTCTTCCCACTTGTGACGCCAGCAAGATTGTCCTAGCCACCATCACCTTCCCCTGGCAGGACCTATATTTTCTCATTCCAAGTCCAGTGCTCTTTCCATGGTGGTGTGTGGCCTCTCATACATTCATTTTACTATAGAGATGTTTTGAAATTCCTTGAGTGGAGTGGTTCTCTTATTTGCCATATACCCCAAAGGATACAGGAATGTGCCACATTCCCAATGAGGAGTTCCATGTATCTAATGAATGCCAGTCTGACCACATCACTGCCTGTGTTCATTGTGGTCTGTGATCAGCTTGGATTGTGAACTCACTCAGATAGATACCCATCAAATTACAATGGCATTTGAAAACTGGCAGTTTGAGTGAAAAATATTGATATGTAGGAGTCGAGTTTTCAACGAGTAACTCATTTGTATTCTGAATGTTGAACATTTCACCTAACTGTAACTTTGAGAATGGGCATGATTAGGTTGTAGCCAGTAGCTGCTGTGCTATTTTAAACCTCAGAATGTTAGCATTTCTGTACTGAAACACCTGGTGTCCTGAAGCAGGGAGTGCCCCAGAGAATGTCTTTGCAGATCACAGAGCATCCATAATTAGCTTCACTGTTACCATCTGAGTACAGAAAGGCCATTCCATTGTATTTTCAAAGTTCTTACTCTGTTGTATATGGAATTTAAGTGGCTCTAGTAATACCAATGGTCTCTCCCTTGTTTTTACAGGTGATCTGCAACTCTTTCACCATCTGTAATGCAGAGATGCAGGAAGTTGGTGTTGGCCTATACCCCAGGTATGGCAGACAATATTTCAGTGCCTAGAAGGCATGATCTTAATTCCCACCCAGCTCCCAGCCTTTTGGGGGTAGTTAAAATGACTATCACACCAACTGGCTCAAGAGCCAGGCTGGAGACTTAGTGATCAATTACAAGGATGATGTAGAAATGTTAAGTTTTATAACTGCACTTTATGTGCTGTGCTGTTAGTGAAAAGGCAGACCTCAGAGCTAAATCTGTGTTCTTAGGGGTTTTAGAGTAGGAAGCTGAGGATTGTGGGTACCTATTAACTGTCAGGCTGAGATTTGGGTATCCCATATACCATCCCTGATCTTACTGCCCTCCCTCCATGCTGAAACACATGTGAATTTCGTCAGACTTACTGTCTCCTAGCAGTGGGTCAATTTTGTCATTTGTATTAGCTCACTCTGAGCCCCATAGCTCTAGGAGGTCAGACAGCTCTCAAGATTGGCTACCTACTCTGCTTCCACAGCTGTCACTGTGATGACTTTTTCCCTTCCACAAGTGCTAGAGTCATTCATTCATACTTTCACTTCTTTATGTCATTTGGGTTCAAGCATAAATATATTCTTTTTTATAATTAACAGTGAATCTGGAAATTTGGCTTCTTTTCTTCTTTCCCACAAGTGCCATTAGCTGCAAGTCGGGTCTCTTGGTATTGGTATTTTTGAGAAAAATACAGTGATACAGAATGGTTCAGAGCATGGGCTCCCAGTTCAGGCCACCTGGTTCAAATTCAGTCACCATATAGTAGTGTGTGTTCTTGGATAAATCATTGAACCTCTGTGCATCCTTCTCTCCATCTGTAAATGATCTTTATGAAGTCCTTGTATGTGTGCTGCTGAATTGAGCACTGTAAAGCCATGGTGATGACTGCCTTAGACAACCATGCTCAAACCTTAAGAAAGTGCTTTCTATATAGTAAATGCTGTTTCTAATTATTATCAATTTATGGTGGCAGCTTAAGTACATTTCATTTCCCAGATGTTAAAGACTACACTTCCAGGGTAATAAAATGATGAGGCTATGGCCCAGATTGCATGAGCGTCTAGTTGAGAAGACCTCCCAGTGTTCCATGCAAGAGGAAGTCCTCCTTTTTATGGTGCAGCAGAGGCACCAGATGAGATCCTTTGTGGGAAAGCTCAGTGGCATCTTGGCTGCAATGATTGCTGCTGATCCTGTTATCTCAAAAATGACTTCTTTGCAGGTCACTTATTCTCCCCATTTTCATGTTGGATTACCTCTCTGAATGGTATCTGAGATACCGGGATTCCCATCCAAATAAAAGACTCAAAAAATATTTCTATGAGCAGATGTCCCTAATTAGCCTCCATCTTATTTCATATGAAGTGGGATAGTGACATTTATGTGAATGTTCCCAGAGTACTCAGGCTGTGGACCTTCTCAACCTCATCTATTTCTTCCCACCGTACATCCCCCAACCCAAAGCATGTTCCTTTCCCATTGCATTCACCAAATATAGCTGTTTGACTCCATCTGCTGGGCCGTCATGGTCTTCTTCTCTTTTTTCAGTATGTCCTTGCTCAACCACAGCTGTGATCCCAACTGCTCCATTGTGTTCAACGGGCCCCACCTCCTGCTGCGCGCTGTTCGAGACATCGAGGTGGGAGAGGAGGTAAGGAAACTTGTCTTGGTTACTTCTTTCATTGCTAGGACAAAATATCCAACCCAGAATTAAGGAAGGAAAGATGTATTTAGCTCACAGTTTGTGGAGGTTTCAGTCCATAATTGTCTGATTCCAAGGAAGGGTGGCATGGCACAGAGGCAACACTTCAAGGCAGCAGAAGACGGCAAAGCAACAAGAGCTTGTTCTCCCCAAAAGAGGGGAGAATAAGCTTCTTCTTTATATTGTACACAGGCCACCCCTCCTTGAGGGCAGGTGTAGCACTCGCAAGATCTCTGTGCTTCTTCTTGCACAAGATGGGGATGTTTACAAATTGAGGACCCTGGCTCCCTGCTGAATCTCTTAGTTAAACTTCTAAACTTCTTATATTGACACAGTGTATGAACTGTAACACTTGTGTTTGCCCCTCTCTAGCCTCCTCACCAGAGACTCAGTGTGACCATTCCTACAACCAGTTGTACTTAGGGGGCTGGTTTTCATTATCCTTCTTTCTGCCAGTGAGAAAATAACATGATAGCGTTCCCTCTGTTCAGCAGTCAGTCACATCCCAGTATATGGATGTGTTAACTTTTTATTTTGTCACCATATTTCTGGATGGTGATAGTTCTAGGGCATGATTGCTATTTATATGAGAGGTGTTTATGTGTGTAACAGAAGGTTGTGTTTTATTATATATATGCCAACAGTTGTTAAATTGCAGTGGCCACTGCTCAGTGGCTTGTCACATCCCTGAAAATGGTCATTCTTCCATGACAGAAAGGGCAGCCCACTTGTGAATAGATTTCTAAAAGCTTACTTACTCCAAAGGCCACTAATTGGATTTTGAATTTTTTAGATCTGTGTATAAAAAGCCAACAGGTTTTATTCTTTTGGGCTGTCATTGGACCTTTACAAATCCATCCACCATCTCTGGGTGATCACTTAAGCACATGTGTAGAAAGGGAATAGAGGCCTGGGAGCGTGACCTCCAGCAATAAATTGGCCTTGACTCTCAGTTTGCAAATAGCCAAGGTCTCATGTTTTGGTGAGGAATCTTCAGGGAAGCTTGAGTCTCATAAGGCAGCCATGTCTGGGCCACTGAGAACTGTGAACTCAGGTCTCCGTTTGTGTTAAGTTCTGGGTTACAGATAATGTATGCTTTTAGAACCCAATTTTGTTCTACCATCCAATTTGCTAAAGTGGATATTTATTGCAAAGAAAACAGAGGATCATAAGCTTTTATTGCATTTATCTAACACTTGGCTAATAAAATCTAAACTCAGGTATCATATTTTATGAAAATGGAGATTTGGCTTTGACAGGATTCATCCCTAGAGTGATTACCAACTGAATAAGCCACTACTTACACTACAACTTTTGTTGAATTTCCCATTTGTAGAACTGGCATACTAAGTATACATATCTATCAGTAATATTAAGAATTTAGATTTTGTTTTTCTGGAGCCATATATGACTGCAAAGCAAGTTAAAAAGGGAACTACTGTTTTCAGCAATGTTAGTTTAGGGGTCAAAGAGTGGCTATTGTTGTCAATGATGATGATGATGACGACGATGACGACAGCAAGGAGGACGACGACTACAACGATCATGTTTTAGTAAATTTACTAAACAAAACAAGGGCTGAGGATGTGGCTCCTTGATAGAGCATTCATCTAGCATGCAAAAAACCTTGGTTTCCATCCCTACCACTGCAAAAGGAAAAGAAAGAAACTTGACAAGCAAACAGAAAAGCTGTTGGAAGTTTCAGAAACAACAATCATGTTCTCTCATATCTTGTTTTTAAGACTTGGTCACCACTTACTGTTCTTGATTGGTTTTCATGGAGCTGGAAAAAACACCCCATCTTTCAGTATTTATTTACCTTTTATTTTTTTAACATCCTCTTTCTATGTCTGGAGCAATAAGCAAATCCTTCTTGTGTAAAACAGAACATTTCTGCTCAGCATCGAGTATACAGACTCAGACATCTTTCTCAATGGTTTTTAACAAAGCATCTTTACAACAAAAAGGATTTTCCCTGAAAGTCCTTCTTTATCAGCATGTAAAAGCAGAAACCTAGCTACCCTGTAGTGTGCTCCTTGGTGATGACATTTCCTCTGCTTACTTGTCCTCTTTGCCCACTTCTACCTACCTTAGTATCATTTTCCCTTTGAGGTCCTTTCAAACACTGTTTCTTCTATAAAGCTTTCTGTGGTTTTTCACATTAAGGGGGGATCTTTTCCCACTGAGATCTCCCTTCTGGTGGTTATTAGCATATATGTGGTCCTTACACTGGCTCATGCAGCTGTCATCTATATGAGGGCAGACATCTGGGTCTCACTTATATTGGAACCTCCTAGTATTGTGCCTTGGACACAAGAGACATCGATCCCTCTTTGCTGAACTGACTATTAATTGAACACACTTTTAAGAATAGTAGTGTTTCTCAGTGGGGAACTATTGGTGTTCTGCATGGAACACTTCTTCATTGTATGCAACTGTTGACCATTGAGAAAGAATTGTGTCTACAGTCTCTGCTCAGTTAAAGCCTATTGCTGCTAACAACTAAAATATATCCTGTACATAAGGCTATGTATTAAGTTTATTGGTACAGTTTAGATATACATAAAGATCATATTTATCATAGAGAATTTGTACCTGTACAGTATTTTGATTCCTCTTTTTTCCAATCACTTTTCCCTCCCTTCAAGCCGTTTTCTCCTCCATATTGATAAAGCTTTGTCTCCATTTTAGCGTTTTTTTCTCATTTTTTCTCATCCCTTTCCTCCTTTTCTCCTTTCCCCTCCCTATTTCTCTTTTCCAAGAGTTTTTTCCTATTTCACAATATCTCTTATACATTTTGGTTATTATTTACACTTTCAGTTTCTCACACCAGAAAGACAATGCAACATTTACATACATGTATGTCAAATTTATTTCACGTAAGAGTATGGTCTCAAGGTACAACCATTTACTTAGAAATATCTCAAATTTATCCTTCTTTAAGGCTAAGTAGTACTTCATTGTGTAAAAATGCATCTTTTTTATTCATTCATAGATTGATTGGCATTTGGGTTGTTTCTAAGATTTAACTATTACAAACTGTGTTGCTGAAAACATGGGTGCTCATGTATCATTGTGGTATGATACTTTTAATTCTTTTGAGATGTTCAGAAGGTGATTAGCTCAGTCATATGAGACCTTTAGTCCTAGTTTTTTGAGGAATCTCCACACTGATTTCCATAGTGGTTGCATCAGTCTACACTCGCACCATTAGTGTATAAGGTTTCCTTTTTCTACATAGCCACACCAACGTTTTTTATTGGTTGGTTTCTTGAAAATAGCCATCATTAGGTAAATGCAAAGGAGAATGAGGACAGAAAACATGCAATATCAGGCACGGCACCAATAGTCATAAAGCACTATCTCCGGGACCTCACAGATGAGTTCAAAAGTGAAGTATTTAACCAAGTAAAGCAAAATATAAGTAGAATAGTTAAATAAATGCTAGGCACCTCCCAAGAAGAAACACATGGTGGAATGGAAGAACAGAAAAGAAGGGGAGAATTGTTTGATGGAGAAAATAGAGAAAACACAGAATACATAAAGCAGGTTCAAAGAGATTACCAGGAAACTAAAAACTCTATTGAAAGCTGGCATAACAGCTTGAAAGAAACTAAGGATTGATTATCTGAACTGGAGGACAGATTTGTAATGTGGGAGCATGAAAGGAAAAACTTCTTAAAAATAACAAGGAAACAAGCAGTAACAATACAAAGGCTAGAAAATGATAAGAGGATCTATAACTTAAGAATGTAAAGGAAGAAGCAGGGATACATACAAGTGAACTGCAAAAGCTACTCACAGAAATAATCAAGGAGAACTTCCCTGATATGGGAAAAGGTAAAGATATTCAGATCTATGAGGCATGCAGGACCCCAGCCACCTACAACCCAAACAGAACTACACCCAGGCATATAAAAATCAAAATTCTAGAAATCCAATATAAGAACAGAATATTAAAAGCTGTCAGAGACAAGAAAGAGATCACTTACAAGGGAACACCCATCAGAATTACAGCAGACTTCTTGGCACAAACCATCAAATCATGAAGAGCATGGGGCGAAATAATTCAAGCTTTGAAAGACAATAACCTCCAGCCAAGATTGATATATCCTACACAACTGTCCCTAGAAATTAATAGAGAAACAAAGTGCTTCCAGGATAAAGAGGAACTAGGGGAATTTGTGACCACCAATTCAACTCTAGAGAGAATACTGCAGGACATTCTAAAACAGAAAAATACCAAGATTCCAGAAACAGTGGCAGAGAGGCCACAATGAATGGAGCAGAAAGCAAAATGAAGAAAACAAACTGACAACTAATGACAGAAAAAGAGCTCAACAGAAATGAGGCAGAGAAGGTTGGATGGTAAGAACAGGAGAACTTGGAGAAAACAAGACATCATAATAGCTAGTGCTGATTTAATATCATCTTGTTTTGAAGTCCCATCAAGCTTTTGTTCTTCTGTCTCCATCAGTCTTAACATGTTGTATCTTACTGGATTTTATTATATGTGATAATATAAACAAAAACTTTTATAGACAAGGAGATAGTTCATTTTCCATTAGCTGGTTCAAAATACCCTTACATTGTATTGATATGTTTGATGCTACAGTATACAAAGTTATACTCAAAGATTTCAAGGAAAAAGACAGTATGGTAACTACTTTTATGTCAGGATATCTTGTGGTGAAACATTATTTTGCTTAAATGGTTATGTTCGGACCTGTGCTATTTTGTTGCTATGTCCTCTTTTACCTCAATCTCCTTTTTTTATTATTTATTTTTTTATTTTTATCTTTTTAATTAAGGGAAAAATAAATAAATAATAGCAGCATATATTATAGTAACCCACTTTGATTTCCTATTAACTTGATTTGAAACCCTGTATTGCTCTCACCATCTTGTTTTGACTGGTTTTACTCTGTTCTGTTTTGCTTAATAGTACC